TTCTTCTGGGAATTTGGGTTAAAGGTGAAGCAGATAGTTTGTCGTGGCTCCCCAGTGCTGTCGCTTTAGTGTGGGGAGGGGCGTGGGGGGTTTTTGGTTTGTTGTCTTGGTTTTGTTTCTAAGTTTGTGGCCAAAGCAGAACATTGTGGTCCCGTCACAGAGATGTGAGCCCCGCTTCACTGACAGATCGCACCCCATGTGGTCCCCAGAGCAGGGGCGGGGGGCGCTGGGGGAGATTGGGCGTTTGCAGTAGCTGATGCTAATTAAATGCAGGAAGTCTCGTGTGTAATGCTCCATCCTTCCCCAGTGCTGGGCTAAGTGTTTTTCCCTCCCTCAGGCCACAGGCCTCGGGCACGCTGGTGGCCTTAAGCGTTCACCTGCCGCCCTTGCACCTGTCCCTTAGTGCTGTGGCCACAGTGGCCCAGTTAGGTCTTTCTCCCGGCCCAGGTTCACTTTGAGAGCTGGAATGCCATGTTACCTGGGACATGGGGCCAGCTCTGTTGTCCTCGTTTGGAGGAGCCTTTCAAGGTCGTCAGGCCAGCCTTGTAAATGCACCCCAGGGACTGCCCTGCTGTGACGGTAAATGCAGTTCTGCCGTCACTGCAGCAGGACCTGTGGCGGGTAATGGGGAGCACCAGGAAGCAGCGCTGAGGGCCCCGCGAGTCTCCTCTGTGAGTAGTCACGAGCACCGTCTCCAGTGCTGCAAAGATTTCCCAGCCTCCGTGCTTTGTTGCTGATTTGTTTCCGTGTTGTGCAGTCAGCTCTGTAGCCATAGAGATCGAGGAAGTGTTAAACAGGTGCCTCTTTATCATCAAGTTCATTTCCAAGGCATTTAAGCGGTATTTTCCAAGTGGGGAATATTGCAGCTCATAAAAGAGTACAGTCCTACTGATTTTTGACCCACCTTTTTCCTCTATAGAAAGTTATATTTAAAATATTTATTTTAAAAAAATATTTATTGATTTTTAAAGACTTTAGAAAGAGTGGCGGTTATTCTTGTATATTATGGAGCAGACATAAAAGTTCTTTGTCCAGACCAGACCCACTTTTACCATTCCAGTGTCCTGTTTCCTCATGTATTACTGAAATCACAAATGGCTTCTAAAATTTTTATTTTGGAAGTATGTGAAAGAGCGTTTTAAGGCTTTTTTCATGCATTGTCATTCCTTAATTTAAATTTCCTGGGCTTTAGACACTTTGATGATCTTTTAGTCTTCCATGTCTGCAGCTTTTGATAAACATATATAATGGACAGTAGAATTAAGTGGCTTCCGAACAGTGAATAATGCTTTGAAGATTATACACTGAGTTTACTGAAGACACAATATCCAAGAGATACTGTAGAACATCTTTCAGTAGTAGTCATTACCAAAGTTAATAGTTAAGGATGTTTGATTTTTTTTTCCTTTTTATAGTGTTAGAATCTCTACCATAACAGAATTCTCAATTATCGTGCCCAGAGTGGAATTGCGTCGTATTTTATGTTTTTGTCCAAGCATGAAATACTTCCAGGGGTTGTTTCAAAGCATGTTAGCATCCTCATCATTAGAGCCAGTGAGTATGTTTTTCTTCTTCTTTGTCTTTCTACAGTACCCCCACCTCCTTACCTCCCTCCACCCCCCGCCCCCCAACAGGCCCTAACAACCAAAAACGAAAGTCAACAGTTTGGGTTTGCTATTGTGTATTACCACCAGAACACTTCATTTAAGGGCAGTCATTTAAAATGTGTTGTGATGGGGTTTAATTTGCTATAAAGACTCTTCGGGGGAGCTGACAAGATCCCATATGAACTAAGTCCTTTTGCTGAATCTTTTATGCTTTTTTTTTTTAAGGTCATTCCCATGAGTAAATAGATAATGAATGGACATCTTTAAGGATGAACTGAAAATACTTTGCTGTATATTCTAGGATGTTACTATTTTAGAGCTTAACCAGATTAAACAATTCTCCATTTTCTAAACTGCAGATGGGGCACATTGATAGTGTCTGCCTCATAGGCACACAGGGACAGGGTGGATGTGCGCCCCCCGCTGAGCCTGGCCTGGGGAGGTGCTCATTGCTTGCGTGGGATTGGGGTGCTTAGTGCTCACCAGCCCCCCAAAATAGTATGACCCCCAGACCATGAATGCCGGATGCTCTCTCCATTTACTGTATGTTTATCCTAAGAAACATCACTATAGTCACAGCAGTGAATATTTGGGTGTGTTATTTTTGTTGGGCTCTGAGCTCAGAATGATGTTCAAAGCACCTTGCAAGTTAACACAGGTTTTTCTTGAACTGTATGAGCTTATGATATTAGACTAATTTTGAATTCAGAGACTGTCCGACTGTCCAGTAAGAGATGTCTTAATCATAACATGCTTAATCATAACATTTCTAAAAGGCATATACATTTTTTCAGCCACTTCGATATGAGGAGGAAAACTTTTATTTTAGGATATCCACTCAAATCAACCACAACAAAAATAACATTTTCATTATCAGCACAAAATGCAAGCTGAGGATTTGGACACGGCCTCGAGGCTGGCTGAGTTACTGTCCCCCATGTGAGGAACGAACAGTGGTGGCATTAAAATTGTAAACTCTTATTGATCTCATACTTGAAAATATTCCACTTTCGTTTTCTTTGGCTTAAATGAAAAATCGGGGGTAAAGATGCCTGTTACACCTGCATTTTACAGTGTTATTGATATTTCAGTATTTCTATTTTAAAACCGTAAAGGAAGCAAAAGAAACCATTTTATTTTAATAGTAGTCCCTGCTCGGCCTGTGCCATTCGTGACCGGTGCGCGGGCCGCGGAGCACTTACCGGCAGGTGCCTGTCAAGCTCTGCGGGGTGGGCTCCCGGCCACGCTGCCGCCTGCGCGGCCGCCTCTCTCATCCTCGCTCCTGCTGCAGCGGCCGTGGCGCGAGTCCCGTGCACACTCACTCGGCAGGTTCCGTTACCCTCTCGTCCCCAGGGCACTGTCCTCTTGTTGATCCCGACCTGTGGATTGAAAAATCGTGCTGCTTTTGCTTCTCTGAGTGTGCCTTCAGGACCGGCCCACTCCTTACAAAACAAAACCGACGCCAGAACACACCTGGGCTGGGGAGGGGCCGCACGGTGGCTCTGGGGTTCTGGGTGAAGTCCTGGCCGCGGGTCAGTCTTTGAATGATTTTCAGAGTCAGAGGCCGGGTGTGGTTATCCAGCCCTCTTCAGTAGAGGGATACATAAAAGTCATTTTACGATCTTAAAACCTCGCCTCCTAAGCATCACTCACAATAGTCCCAGTGCGTGAGCATGGCCGGATTTCAGGGTGGGGTAAGCCTCGCCCTGCCTGTGTCCTCTGGAGCCCCACCAAGGGCGCGCCGCACCAGAGCACCGGCGGTGGAGTCTGTCACTGAGAGCGGGCCCGCCCCTTCGTTAGTCTCCACTGCTGGGGCCCCGGGGACCTGTGCTCCGGGCACCCTCCCCCCGTCTGGCTGCTCACGTTCTCACTTGCTGGCACTGCCCTCAGGCCTCCCACACACACATCTAGTAGAAAAGTGAAGCCAAGAAACGTGCCTCGCACACATGACAGGCATTTTCTATGTTGTCAGAAACTCTAAAAATAACTATATGCTTTTCCTTTTTAGAAATGTATTATCTATTTAACCATTTCCCCCATTTTTTGGACATGCAAGTTAAAAGTGATAAAAGGAAGCAAAATTTAAAATAAATGTATCATTTCAGCTGTGCAACTGTGCAATAACAGTACACATGGAAAAGTACATTTGCAGGAAAATGTGGGTGTTTTTTAATTTGTCTCGTGTTACTTTTATAAGCAGAGAGAGTCAGTCCCTTTGGGCCGGCTGTGCCTTGGCGCAGCCCTGCCTTCCCTTTCTGAAGTGACCCTGTGCCATTCAGACCACAGAGAAGGGCCCCAGCCAGGCAGTGGGCACTGTGACAAAAGCCTGCTTTCTGCCCTGGCTTCATTTGCCCTCCAAGGATGGGCTACTCCGCCCAAGCGCCGGGGTCAGGCGAAGGCTGGCAAGGTCAGGCACAGCTGGCGGGGCCTGCAGCCAGTGGGAGGGCCCTTTGCCCAGTCATGCCCCTGCTCAGGTCCAGGCAATTGCGGCCTTGAGGGTGTGGGTCTGGTATTAATGGATCTTTTGGATTTGGGAGAGAAGGAGCAGGGTATCTCAAGTCTTAATGTGAGGTTCCCATCTTTTAATCGTTATTGGCTCATTCAACTTTAAAAATACAACTCGGTCCAACTGCGTGCCGAACAGGGTCCACAGTCACATCTGGACACCCAAACTGTCACGTCTAGAGGGCGGAGGCTGCTGACCGTGGACACGCTAGGAACGGGGTGGCAGGGAGTGGTGGGAAGAAGCTGCAGGAAGCCCGGAGTGGTGAAGGAGGGACGGACGGGAACAAACACACGACCCGCCCCCGCCTCTGGCTGCGTGCTCAGGGGGCTGCGTGCTCAGGGGGCTGCTTGTGCCGTGGCCCCAGCCCCAAGCCCCGCGGGGCCTCTCCGCCACCTGATTCTGTCCCTGCAGATTCTTTCTCATCCCCTCCCCAAGGGAAGGCTCCACCCGTCTCCCAGTGGGGCGTCCTGGGGGACCTCCTCCTGCAGAACAGGCTGTTCCCCTCGCGTGGGCCCCTCTGCGGTGATAGCAGACCAGTTCCTCTTCGGGGCAGCCCTGTCGGGACGCCGTACTCACCGCCCTGTCGTGACTTATGTAACGTCTCTGTGGCATTGACCTCAGGACGGGTGGGTCAGGGGAAGGTCTCTTCAGTCATGACAGTGAACCAGACCCAGCCTAGAAAAGGAGCTGACTTTGACCCGAAGCAGTGGCTTTTGGGGACAGAACCACAGTAAATAACCAGCTAAGGCAGCAGGCTCTGAAGCTGGCTGAGTCAAGAGACAGCGGGATTTCCCAAGAGCCCGAAGGGCTGTGGTCAGACTGAGGGGTGGGGGTTCTGTGGGGTGGTCGCATGGTAACGGGATCTGTCCTTGTTCTGCTCTCTTCAGTGTGGGGCTGCCTTCCAGGAGGACGATGTCGTCGTGCTCAACGGCACCAGGGAGGACGTGCAGGTGCTGAAGAGCAGGATGGAGGAGAGGAGGCTGCGCGCGAAGCTGGGGAAGGTAACGGGCCCTGCGCGCCCCGCGCCCGCCCGCATCCTGGGCACACGCCTTCAGGTTCTGCTGGCCGCAGCCAGGCGCTGCCTCGGGTCTGCAGTGACCGAGGCGGCTTTTAGAGCCTGGAGGGGCCTGGGCTCTCAAAAGAGTCCAGCCCTGGCCCGTCCTCACCCTCGCTGTGTTGGGCACGGCGCTTCCCTCTCCCGCTCAGCCTCTTCATCAGTGAGGTGGGGACGTCTGCGCAGGACAGGGGACAGTAACAGCACCCGTCTGGAACGGGCGTTGTCAGGAGGGTGACAAAGACCGTGCCTATAAAGCTCTGCACAGAGTGCGGCCAGGCGAGCGGGAGGGAACGGCTCTCACGGCGAATGCTGCCCGTCACCAATTGCAGGAGTGTCACCAGCCCTCCGCGTCCACGGTGTCGGTGGACTCTGCCACCTGCACGTGGAAGATACTCGGGGTGAAAAATCCCAGAAAGTTTCAGAAAGCAGAAATTGAGTTGTCCACACGCCGAGCACTGGGCTGCACCCACACAGACGCGTGACGCGCAGGCGTGCCCTGCCCTGGTCTGCGTGCGGGGTAGGCTGTGCGCGTGCTGTGCCGTCCTCGGGTTTCGGCGCCCATGGGGGATCTGCAACCAGTTGCCCCCGTGCCGAGGGACGACTGCGCACACCGGTGTTCGTAACTTGTAACAGCCCCCGCGTTTCCCTCCGCCCCTGGGGCTGCGGCCCCTGGGACAGCACTGTGAGCAGCCGAGCTAAGCCGCCGCCTCCCTCAGCCCTCCCTCGAGGGGAGTCTGGTCACTGGGGCTGCCTCGGCTGTCCTGGAGGGAGGCCAGTGGTACTCGCTGGTCAGCTGGCTGGGGACCAGAGCTCTGGGTGGAGTGCGGGAGTGAAGGCCTGGCTCTGTGTCCCTCCGTTCGGAACCCCTTTCCATAAGCAGGGGGATCATTGCTTAATGATCTCCCTCAGAACAGTTTATCAGCAAAAAAATTGTTCAATGCGCCATCGACTCTGGATCCAGCAGTAAATGCATTAAGTATTTACAGTATTTGCCGCAGTCTGTGCGAGCAGCACATGTTTCACTCTGTAAAAATACAGATTACTGCATGTGATCAGAATTAGGCCAAAAAAAATGCTTGAAGTATTAGTTGAATATTAGTTTCAGTGTCCTGAAGACATAAAATTGTGGGGAAAAAAAATAGCCTGCCTCTGTGTGGCTCACATTTACCAGTGATAACAGTGATTAAAGATTTTTCAGAGTTTCTTTTTTGTTTAATCATAATAGAGGCAAGAGCAGGGCCATATCAACTTGGAATAATATATAATTCGCAGTCACGAGGCTCGAAAGGCTGATGCTAAAGACAGCAGTATTGTTGTTATGTGGCGATCCAGAATTCTCGGTGCCACATCTTATTTGCATTTCCTTTCTATCATTTTCCTTACGTAGAAAATAAACGATGCATGTAAATGGTTCTGTAGTGCAAGGAATGGTGCTCAGACTTTGTCATCAAGTTGAACAGAAGGACTATGAGACGCAGTTTTCTAAGGTGCTGCTGCAGCATTCACGAGATATATTTAAAGGGCTGAGTGCAGATTTAAAAGTGAAACTTTTTAAGTGTGTTCGTTCTACGTTGGTTTTCTAATTTACTGTGATTGCATATCATATGAACAAAAGAGAAGGAAAAAAGCTTGATGTTTTTGACAAAGGACAGTTCCCAGAGGGATCTGCTTGTTCATCGCTACCATTAATCGAACTCAGTCTTTAAAAAGCACAAGGGGAAAAATTGTTTTCTCAAGGGCGCTCCTGGGGACATTTGCGTGGTGGTTCCCCATCTACCTGGGTGAGTCTCTCCTGTCCCCGGCTTGCGGTCAGGTTGTTCAGAGCCCCGGGAGACTTACATGCCCCTCACCGGAGCTTTGGGGAATGCCTCTTAGATACTGCTGCCAGGATACCAAATATTTCCCAAATATACTCGCAGCTGGAAACAGGACGTAGCGTTTCCTCTCTCTCTCCTTATTGCTTGGCGCTTGTCAAATAACCTCAGCCGAGAGTGGAGGGCTTGGAAGTTAACAGTTGTCGCTGTTTTTGAAGGATGAGGTGTTACCCTTGGGTTTGAACGCTTGCCTTGCATGTGTGAAGTGAACGGCAGGTCTTTATGTCTTAGACAGTGTTACAGATCACGTCGCATGTATATATTACAAGTTCAAGGCTGCTGCCCGAGAACTGTTCTTTTTTCCTTGTGTTCTAGGGATGAGAGCCTTCAGAAATAATTAGGCTGTGTGTCTGTAGCACCATCTTTTGGCTACTTCAGAAAATGGCGTTTTTAAAGTAAAGTCTGAATGAACATGGTCCTGTTTGTCCTTTCTGTGATTGAACCAATTCTCGCCCAGCTGTGTGGTTCTAAAGTGATTAGTTTGCATTTTTACATGTTTGCTGACCAATTTGACATTCTGAGGGACAGAATTAAAACTCTGCCAAAAGTGCCCCAGAGTGTAGGAGAATTGGCTAGAGTGTCCTTCAGTCTAAGCCTCGGGTCCTTACAGTGAAACAAACTCCAGAGCCCTGGGGCAGCTTTGGGAAGGACGGACAGGGACGGTCCCGTGTGTTTGTCCTGGCCGGCGTCGCACGCCCACATGTGCTAGGTGTTACTCAGTGACCTGCTCGTGTGTGTGCGGGGTCACCATTAGCACTGACTCCTGCCACTGAAATCTGTCATCCTCATTAAACATTTCTGAGAATGTGATGTTCGGAATACAACACAGCAGATGTGCGCAGACGTGTTCTGTGAGGCCAAGCGCGATGGGAAGCGCGTGCAGAGGGTCCAGGCTCGGAGCGAGCCGTCAGGGCCGGCTGCAGCGCGACCCCCGTGTGTGGGAAGTGCGTCGCCTGCTGACAGGCTCCCGGCGGGCAGGCGAGCCTGCTGGCCCTGGGCTGGGGGCATCCGAGCACACCTCCCGTGTCCTCTTTCTTTTCCCAGAAAGTGAAGAAACCCAAGGCGGCAGAGGCTGCCTCAAAGCCGGACGTCGGTGAAGGTAAGACGCCAGGGCGGCCGTCCGTCAGCAAAGCAGGGCTGCGGCTGTGTCCGGAGTCAGCTCGCGCTCCCGTTCTGATTTTGTCTTGCTCGCTTTGTCCCTTTCACAGAGTCCGCAGGGCCATCAAACGTGAAGAGCGGGAGGCCCGAGGAAGCCGGCCTTGACGCCAGGGAGAAGAGAATCAGCCCGGCCCCCCGAGGCGCAGGTGGGCCTGCCGCGGCCACAGCGAGCTGCGTGGGGACCTGGTCCCGTCACAGTTCAGTGGCCTGGATTCGGAAACTGCCTCCCAGCAGTTCGTGGGGCCCCCTTCGGGAACTAACAAGAACCAGTTAATACACCCTGAGCTGGAGCCCGGCAGGTGGCAGGGACCTGGGCACGGGTGCCGACCATTCGGCGTCCCTGTCACGCATGCGCTTAGTGCCGGGCCGACGAGGCTGCTTGGCCTGCTAGTGGGCTGGGGTCACAGGACGAGTGTCCCTGAGCCCTGTGGGCTGGGGTTTAGCATGTTCCACACGCGCACTCAGAGCCAGCCTTCTTGCCACCCGCCTGTCGGCCGAGTCGTCAAAGAGCCACGTGGCAGGTGGCCCAGATCTCAGGGCGCTTCTCCCGAAACTCACCACTTGCAACTCAAAAAGTAGTATTTACTTCACAAACAGGAAGACACAGGGTCATTAGAGCGTGTGAGCGCGTGTGCAAGGAGCACACCCACACTCCCGGCCCCGGCCCCACTCTGCACACGGTGGCCCGGCGCATCCGCGTCCCTGGGAGCAGGCGCCTGCCACGAGGGCCCGATGCTCGGTGCATGGGGCTGGGGCCTGCGTGCGAGCATGTCGCGGGGCAGTGTGGCTCGAAGGGGTCACAGGTCGCAGCCTCGTCTGCTCCTAGGACTTGACAGTTGTGGGGGGGCGGGGGGCAACGGGTGTGTGGGGGCCCTTTCGCCCAGCCTGAAAGCCGTGGCTCTTCCCTTCCCTGCAGCGGGCGCGAGCTCCTCGGGCCGAGCCGGGAGGCCGCCCTGCGCGGCCGCGAAGAGGCCGACTGCCGCCAGCGGGGAGTCGGAGGCGTACAAGTCCCTGTTCACCAGCCACAGCTCCGCCAAGCGCTCCAGGGAGGAGTCGGCCCACTGGGTCACCCACACGTCCTACTGCTTCTGAGGCCCGGCTGCTCGTCCCCAGAGATGGGGGTTGGGGACCGTCCCTGCTACATTGCCCTCTGCACGCATGATAAAGTGTCCTCCAAACCCCTGAGCCGTGTGGTCACTCCCTCTCGTGAGGCGCCTGGGTTCTGGGAGAGGGCGTGGGGGGTGACTCGCAGAGTGACCGTGCTGGGCCCCATCTGCCCCCACCCCAGCCAGGCTCAGCGCTCACGCCCACCTTCTGACGGCCCGGCCCGCACGGTGGCTGCACCTTCTACGTGTGAATGGTTAGACTTCTGATTCCTCCTGGGAGTGCGGTTGGCGCCTTTTGACTAAAATCCTGGTGGTGGCGCTGCCCCGGCGAACGAGCCCCGTGAAGGCACTTGGGCAGGGTCCGTCCCCAGGCCCTGTGCCCGTGGGTCTGTGCGCGGGATCGTCTCTCCCTCCGGCCGAGGGGGCGGGGATGGCGTGGGGGGCGGGGGTTCCCGTAGTTTATCATCTTGAAGATAGAAGAGCTTGAGTCGGGCACCTGACGATCTGATACAGAAATAAAGTAAGTCTGCCTTTCCTCCCGTCTGTCCGTCCTTCGCGCTCTCGTCGCTCATGTTTAGGTAGGAAAATTGCAGCCATTCCTCGGATGGCAGCAGGAGCAGCTCCGTGATGTCGTGTGCACGCCGCCCTCTCCCTCTCCCTCGGCAGACGGTGGAAGGGGCTCGTACAGCAAGCCGGTGCGCGTGCTTCGCCCGTGAGGTGCGCGTGTTTCGCCCATGAGGTGCGCTGACGGCGGCAGAGCTGAGCCTGCCCGCGGGGCCTAAGCCGGGGGAGCCGCT